TGTGTTGGTGCCTGTGGGGGGTGGGTGGGGTGGAGCGGAAGGGTGAAGCGCGGCAGCTGCCTGCCTTGTTTTCGGAAGGTGCAGCGCAAGGGGAGAAACTCCTGGCGGCGGCACGAGCGAGGCACCCATCGCCGGCCGCAGCCCTCCCTACTCCCCCACCCACACACCACTGTCTGCAGGCGGGCGCTCTCGTGGACAACCCTGACCAGCGAATCGCCGTGGATGTGCGGTGAGCAGAGGGAGCCTCCCGCCCCCGCTGCACTGTCCTCGCACGGTTTTCGCTTGCGCTGTCACTTTCTCTGCCCCCTGCGTCAGCCTGCTGCTCCCTCCCCACGCCTCCCATCCCCTGCTGCTGCCTGCTGCCGCACCTGCACCACTGCAGCAACTTTACGGATACAGCCCTCACCTTTTCTGTGGTCATGCTCAACGCCTGCATCGACCTGGTCAGCTTCTCAGGTGCGCTGGGGGTGTGCACAGCTCACCAATGCCCTCCCTGGTTGGTGGCCCCCACAAGTTCTATGCTCTGAAAGCTCCCAGCGCAACGGTTTGCCCTGCCCTGCCTGCATCGCCTCCTCCCACCCGCCCGCCCGCCATCCACCGCTGCTGTACCCGATGTCCTGCCGCTCTGTGCTGCCACTGTACTGCACCGTACCGCCGCAGGCATCCTGTACAGCATCTACCCTCCCCTCTTTGGCGCCCTGGCCGTCTATGCCGTGGGCGGCACCGCCCTCTCCGTCTACATCGGTCGCCCGCTGGTGGGCCTTAACTTCCAGCAGGAGGCGCAGGAAGCAAACTTCCGGTGGGTGGGTGTGGTGGCGGGTGTGGCCGCGCAGGCCCCTCCTGGGTGGGCTGGCGGGCAGCCGGGCGGGCGGGCGCGGCTTGGCGGATGGTGAATCGGTTGGCGCTTGGCGGGGCGCGATGGATGGAGGGCATGCTGGGCGGCAGGCACTGCTTGGCTGCGGGTGGCGCCTCTTTCAGTGCATTGCCCCACCTAGCCCTTCTCACACCCCATCCCGCACACACATGCCGCCTGGCCCCATGCGTAGGTACGGCCTGGTGCGCGTGCGGGAGAATGCCGAGAGCATCGCCTTCTACGGCGGCGAGGACAACGAGCAGCGCCTGCTGAACAGCCGCCTCAAGGCCGCCATCGGCAACTTCCTGGGTGAGCGGGCGGGCGGGCCCCATGGGACTAGTGTGTGGGCTGTTAGGGATACAGATTATGGGGGAGGCAGGCCCCGGACTCCTGAGCCGGTGGCTGGGCTGCTGTCGTCAGGAATGGGAGGAGTAACGGGGTGTCGTGGCTGGGCGTGCACTAAAGCCCACACCGCCACCGCACAACCCCCCTCCCTCACAGAGCTGCTCAAGGCCTCCCGGAACCTCAGCTTCTTCACCAGCTTCTACCGCTTCCTCATCCAGGTGTGTGGTACTGCCTGAACTGCAGCAACCAATGCGCCGGCACAGCAGCACCCACCCACCGAGCGGCTTGCGCTGTGCGTATATGGGCGCGTCCCTCCCCTCGCACACTCCACCTCCACTCCACATGATTACCCCTCGCACAGTCCACCGCAATTCTCCATAAATCCTTTGCCCCGTCCGTCCATGCTTCACTGCAGGTGCTGCCGGCCGCCGTGGTGGCGCCGCTCTACTTCCGGGGCGAGATTGAGTTTGGGGTGATCAACCAGAGCGCCTCTGGTGGGTGTCTAGCCAGCTGGGTGGGTGTCTAGCCAGTTGGGCGACGTGGGGAGGGGCTGTTGCCATTAGCAGCCGCCGCACGCCACGCGCACATTGCTGGGGCCGGAGGGAGCACATGCACGCCGCTGTGGCTTCACCAGCGAGCCTGCCTGCTGCCCCGCTGACCCGCATCCACCCCCGTGCTGCACCCGCAGCCTTCAACCACATCCTCACCGATGTGTCTCTGGTGGTGTACCAGTTTGAGGCGATTGCCGGCTTTTCAGGTGTGTGTGTGTGTGTGTGTGTGTTGAGGAAGGTGGGGTGGCTGGAATGGAGCTGCATGCTGCTGCTGGGTGCAGATTGCCTTGGGATGAGCAGCCTCGGTCGCAGGTGGAGGGCCAGGCGGGCGACTACCCAGCCCCCGGTCCGGGGCTGTTCACATGAATGCACCTCTCTTGGATGCAACTCCCTCTGTGCAGCCGTGATTGACCGTCTGGGAGAGTTTGATGAAGTGCTGGAGGGCAGCAGGTGGGGACATGCAGCCAGCCAGCCCACCCCTACCTGTGTGCGGGGTTGCGCCCCGTCCGCTTACTGTTGCTGGTGCCTGTTGAGCCGCCCATGCTTGCCTGCAGAGCCGGAGGCACTGCCACAGTCGATCCCGTCAAGGCAGCCGCCTCTGCGGATACAGACGACGAGGCGGCTGCTGGCAGCAAGGCTGATGAGGAGGCAGCCAGGCCCGGCGGCATCGTCATCACCGACCTGCCGGGCACCTCGGGTGAGGCTGGCCGCTCTTGTCAATGGTGTATGTGTGCTGCCTATGCCAAGAGTGAATCAGGAATCTCCTTTTGCATTGTTTCCCTCAGCCGCACTCCCATGCCGTTCTACTTCCATTCACAACATGTTAAGCGCTTGCCTGCCCGCCTGCCTGCCTGCCCCGCCTCCCCTCCCTCCCCTCGCAGGCCGCTCGCTGCTGGACATCCGGAGCCTGACGCTGCAGGTGCCCAGCAGCGGGGCGACCCTTGTGTCAGACCTCACCCTGTCTGTGACCCCGGGTCACTCCCTGCTCATCATGGGGCCCAGCGGCGCAGGCAAGACCAGCATCCTGCGGACCGTGGCCGGCCTGTGGAACTGCGGCAGCGGACACATCGTGCGGCATGGCCAGCCCATGGGGCGGGCCGAGGGCGAGGTGAGGCCGCCAGCTCGGGGGGAGGCTGGAGCGCTAACTTTCAAGCGCCACGGCCGAGCGTTTCTACGGATGCTGCTGCCGCTCCAGGACGAGTGTAGCCAGGTGTGGCTGGGCACAAAGCATCGCCTGCCTGCCTGCTTGGCCGCAGGGCGACATCTTCTTTGTGCCGCAGCGGCCGTACGTCGTGCTGGGCACGCTGCGCGACCAAGTTCTCTACCCGACATGGGCCCAGCTGGTAGAGCAGCCAGCTGGCCCCGCTGGGCCCGACTCGACGCATGCAGCAGCAGCAGAAGCCGAAGCAGTGGGAACTAGTGCCACAGCAGCAGCGGCGGCCGCAACGGATGCGGCCGGAAGCAACGGTGTGAGCGGCAGCGAGCCTGGAGGTGCAGAGGCCGCCAGCAGCAGCAGCGACGGCAGTAGCAGCAGCAGCAGCGGTGGCAAAAGGTCGGTTGATGGCAGCGGCAGCGCGCGGCGGCCGCTGCCAAGTGACGCTGAGCTGAGGGCGGCTCTGCGGGAGGTGCAGCTGGGGCCGCTGCTCGACCGCATCAATGGCAACCTGGATGCTGTGGCCGACTGGGCCTCCACGCTGTCGCTAGGGGAACAGCAGCGCCTGGCCTTTGCACGTGTGATTTTGGCCAAGGTGCGGCGGGGCCGCGAAGGCAGCACCGCGCAGCTGCGCTGCTTGCTCCACGCTTGCTTGCCTCTGCATCGGCCTGCTGGGGCGTGCATCGGTGCACGCACCCCTGTGGCATTGAGCCCCTGGGATGGACACCTGGCCCTGCGCTGCCATGCTGCTGTGCTGCAGCCTCGGCTGGTGCTGATGGATGAGTCCACCTCAGCCCTGGACACCCGCAACGAGCGGCTGCTGTACGAGGCGCTGCGCGCCGCAGGTGGGTGGACGCCAGGCTGGCGGGCCGGTGGTACCACGTTGGTCAATTTGGGGGGCATGGGAATCGGGGAACGCGCTCTTCGCTGCTGACGCCGCTGGCTTCTCTCTGATGGCTCTCGCCTCCTGCAGGCATCACGTTTGTCAGCGTGGGCCACCGCCCCACCCTGTGCCAGTACCACGACCGCGTGCTGCTGCTGCACGGCAATGCCAGCGGGATCAGCGAGCCCACGGACGGCGGCGGTGGCACCCCTCCGGCGCCGCTGGGCGGCTGGGAGGTGCGGCCGGCCTCTGAGATGACTCTGGAGAAAGCCTTGGACTACATGGGCTAGCACGGTTCGTTGGGCAAACTTCCCGACGCAGCCCTCCCCGGCAGCAGCAAACCCAGCCTCTCTGTTCATCAATATTCAACGCACTGTGCCCAATTGAGGGTGCCATTCTGATTCCAGATTTTATTCATCATAAAAGCATGTATTTCTTCAGCTGGATCCTGTGCAACACATCCTCCTTCTGCAGCAACTCGGTGTCTATCGCAGGCTGACGGGCGGCGGCGTGGCGGGCATGCTGTGCCAGCTTTGCTCCTGTATTCGCTCCCTCACACAGGCTTTTTGCTTGACTCGTTCTCCGAGCCGCACCTGCCCTTCAGGCATCGGGAGCTTGTGCATTGGGGCGAGCAGGCACAGAACCACGCCTGCACCCAAACAGGGAGAGGAGCGGGCACTGCATCTGCCACGGTCCCCGCCCCCAATGCCCACTCGCCCGTCTGCTAGTGAATCGCCACCAATCTTTATTTTGAGGGATTCTGTCGGTTTTCAGGCGCACGTGTGTGCATCCAGTACTCCCCAGGCCACTTTCTATCCAGAAAGAAAGTTGATGGTGGGGCCTCGGACGGCCTGCCTGCTCCCTAATGGCTCTGTTGCTTTTCAGACGTGTCGGCAAAGCAGTGGGCGCCATGTCTCTGGCCAGGGCGAGGGAGGCCTGCAGGATTTACCTGAAGGACGAGCTGCCGCTGGACAAGGACCCTCGTGAAGTCATCCAGCGCTTTCGGGTGAGCCCGTGGTGACACGGAATCTGCAGCAGGGGCAGCAGGACAGGGCACTCCGGCCGCCACTGGAGGCGGGTGCCAACGTGCCGCTGTGGCGCAAGTGCCTCCACTGCCAGTGGCCACTGAGCCAGCCATCTTGGTGCTGCTCCACAGGCAACGGTGAACATGTTACCGGAGGAGTTGGAGGAGTGGCTGCTTAGCGCGGATAGCCGGCAGGCAGTGGAGCAGGCGGCGGAGGAGGCAGACAGGAATGGGAGGCATGTGGCGCGCAGGTTGGCCTGCAGCCCGCAGCTCGCCGCCGCACTTGGTGCATGCCTGAGCCTTGAAAACAAGCATGTTTGCTTGCAGGATTGTGGAAATGCTGCAGAAGGACGATGAGTGCGTGTATGAAGCGGATCTCGAACAAATGAACCAGTGAGCCTCCCTGTCGGCCGTGCTGCTGTATCGCCGCTCCCGTTGGCAATCCCGCTCCTGCCACTGCTGAGGGGCTGGGTCCCAGCTGGGATGCCCAGTGGCCGCTGTGCAAGCTGCTTCTTCCACAGAAGGGTGCCACAGGAGCCTCTGCGAATCGTTGTTCCTGCCGCTGCTCCTCCCCCTTGCTCCTTCCGCAGGATCACGCAGTACATCTCCTGCCACCGCCGCCTGCTGGAGGAGAAGGGCAACGCGCTGGATCCTCTGGAGCTTGCTCACCTGAAGAACTTTGGGTTTGATTTGCACAAGGCCGTCAACGCGCCAGCAGCAGCGGGGCAAGCTGGCGGCGGCAGCAAGCCAGCCGCAGCTGCTGGCGGCGGTCGGATGGGAGGCCAGGCCGAGCCACAGCGGATGGAGCCGTGAGCGGCCAGCAGCCATCAGCTCTGTACAAACTAGCAACTCTCGAACGAGCTCAGGCGCACAAGCCTGGTGTCAAGTCGACAATCTTGCATGGCGCCGGCAGTCAAGTATGCAGAATGGCGGGCTTTGATCCTCCGTTGTTTTGGTATCAGTTTGGTTCATGCAAAAGCAGAGTCACACAGGGCTGCTCACCAGCACTGCGCAGGCTTATTCTCAATTGAAGAAAGGAAAACTTCAGAATACATGGCAACAAAATGGAAAGGAAGAGGCGCATTGGACGCGTCGTCACTCGCTGTTCAGCCGGCGGCTGGCGTCTGTGTGGTGTTCGCTTCGAAGTTGGCTCGCAATCCGCTGATCCATGGTGTGTCTGGGCCCTGGTGCACCACTACCGGTTCTCCGGACTCGGGAAGGGTATACAGGAAGCAGAGGCCGGATGCACCCAGGGTCTCACACCTGCGCCAGCGGTGGGGCCGGCACAAGAGGTTTGAAATAGCAGCCAGATATGAAGCTCCGCACAAGCATGCAGCCCGCCGCGTCGCAGCCGGCGCTGTGATTCCATCACTTTGCTGGGCGCCTGCCCAGACTGCTGTCCCGCCACTTGCCTTGGGTCTGAGGTAGGGCAAACCGCCCACATCTGGCAGCCAGGGTTGTTGTTGCTGCACAACATTCATTCAACGTGAAAGGCAAGGTGAGAGTATTATGGCAAATCCAACTAAACAAAGTGTAGAATTGAACGTACCAGCGAGAACAGCACCCCTCCCCAGAGGGAGTGTCCGCTTGCAGCTCCATCTGCGGCAGCACGCCCTGCCACTCTGTGTTGTGGTACTCAACGCACTGGCCTGCAGGCCAGGCAGTAGGTGTGCACATCCAGCGTTGAAGCAGGCACATCCCGGGACTGCACTCTTCGATGGGGGGCCATGCCACACAACAAGTGGCTGTGCACCCTAGGCAGCGGCTGGGGCAAGCGCAGCCTGCGGCTATCTAGCCTGCTGACCTGCGCTGCCGCCTGCTGCGGTGGTGACGTTGTTCGCGCCCATGCCAGCCCAGATGTGGGGCAGCTGGGGCGGGGTCTGCACGCGGGTGACCAGGCCGGAGACGAAGGGCACACCCGAGCCACGCTGGCTGAAGATGGCGAAGCCCTCGCCGGCCTCGTCAGAGGAGAACTCGCAGGTGGCGGCCGGCACGAGGCGGGTGCTGTTGGCGGCCTCCTCGGCAGTGCAGAGGCGGAGGCCGATGTTGCCGTAGTGCACCTCGCAGCTGCAGCCACGCAATGAGCGCCATCAGCGTCAACAGGCTGTCACCGGGCCCTGCACACAGGACAACTGCGTCCATGCTGTTGCATCCATGCGGGCGCTCACCCCTGGCCCACGTCTGCGGGGCACCAGCTCCACACGCGGCAGTCCTCAGCCGCCAGGCACTGCGCCTTGCACTCGTCCTGGGTGTACACCAGTGTGGTTTTGATGAACAGGGCAGCCTCGTAGTACGAGTTGGGCTCCACTGTGCTGCTGGACTGGCCCATGATCGACTGGCCTGAGGGGTCTACCCGGGTCTGTATCTGCGAGCGGCGCGGTAGGGGAGCAGGCGGGGGAGGCGGTGTGCTGTGGCCGGGGAGTTTCAGCCCGCGAGTTGCGACCACGTTGGCATGGACGACAACGTGGTGCAAATGCGTGCCCTGGCCAGCAGACTGCACACAGCACGGGGGCGGTGTGCCCGCTCCGCCGCTGCCGCTGGAATGGCGGTGGCAGGCGTGTGGTCCAGGAGGAGTTAGCGCGACCGCGTCCTACCTGCTGCTTCAGCTCCCGGGCTCCCACGATGGTGAATAGCGCCAGCAGCGCCCCTAACGCGAGGGCAAGTGTGCTTGGGGGAGGCATGCCGGCTACCACCTAGTGTGGCCGTCCACGAGCGAGTGAGAGCGGCGGGCGTGTGCAACGTGTGAGGATTGGCTTGCGTGTGGTGGCTGCAAGCGCCGAAAATGTTTTGGGCCAGCCAGTCCGGGGGTGTGCCCATATCGTGAGGGCGGGTTCCGGAGCTGAGGCGACCATTTTCTGCTCCTGCGAGCCTGAAATACCATTCAATGCAGTTGTGAGACTCATGTCACCCCGATGTCCTACCAAGGGGCCCTCCCGCCGCCGCCGCCGCCTTCGCGGCTGCTCTTGCGGCGTCGGCCGCTGCTGCACCTCGACGGCCAGCAGCAGGAGTGCCTCATTACAGGTCATCAATCCAACGATAGCTGTGGCAGCAAGGAGCGGGAAGGCGTGGCGAGGATAACCGAGCAGCAGAGAGGTTCAATTCAGTCAGTAGCGGTTGGCGACGATGTGAGCGTTTTAACTTTAATTCTGCGAAGCAAGTAGGTGCCGCTGGCCCTGGGACCAGGCAGACGGAAGGGCACCCGTGCTGTACAAGGCATAGATCACGTCTGGCGAAGGGCTAGGCCGGGGGCAGCACTCCCGCTCCGTAGCCGCTGACCCAGGGCGTGTCCAGGCCCTGGTGCAACATATCGGCTTCCCCGCTCCCCGCCATCTTCATCAAGAAGCAGTAGCCGGCGACGCCCAGGTCTTGGCACCTGCACAGGCATGCCACGCACGGCGGTCGGCATAACATTCCTTGGCGATGCCGCTGTGGTGATGCCAGCATTGCATTCGCGCTGGGGGCGCCAGCTGCCCTCTCTTCCTCATTCCAGCACCGCCAGCTTGCCTGGAGTCCTTCCCGGGGCACACTTTCCAGACCTGGCACCCGGGCTTGTTGTTGCAGAGCATGCAGCAGTTGTCGCCATTGGGCGAGTCCAAAACCAGCTCCAGCTCAGGCAGCTCCCCGTTGAACTCTGTGTTGTGGAACTCTGTGCACTGGCCTGCTGGGCAGCAGGGCGGCGGACGCCATGGTGGGGAGTGCCGCACAGCGGGCAGCCAAGCAGGCTGGCCAGCAGGCAGGCTGGGATGTGGGGAGGATGGTGTTGTGGGATACAGCAGGCCGGGGACCCGCGCCATGGCCCCGCCAGGCCCATGCCACGTGCTCACCAGAGCCGGTCTCGTGCACCATGTGCGGCAGCTGCGGCGGGATGAGCACGCGGGTGACCAGGCCGGCGACAAAGGGCACCGCGGCGCCGCGGTAGATGAACAGGGAGAAGCCGCTGCCCACGGGGTCTGTAGAGAACTCGCAGGTGGAGGGCAGCACCAGGCGGGAGCCGGCATCGGTGGCGTTGCGGTCGTAGGAGCCGCAGAAGCGGGACCCCACGCTGCCGTACTGCACCAGGCACCTGCGCAGCACCTCGTGGAAGGCAGGGTGACCATAGCCCGTCTAGGCATGCACGCAGCGAGGCAGGCAGGGCGCAGGCAGGCGGGCTCACCCTTCTCTCTGGGTGGTGGGGCACCAGCTCCACACCCGGCAGGCCTGGTTGTCCAGGCACTGCGCCTTGCAGTCCTCCGCCGAAAACAACACGTTGCTGCCGATCAGCTGCGCGGCCTCAAAGTAGGTGCCTGGCTCGGCGATGCTGCTGGCCGTCCTGGCCCCGATGTTTATTTCCTGTGCTAATGCAGACCCCAGGCTGGCTGCCTGCACGGCGGCCGCCGCTGCAGCGTCTAGCGCCTGCCCCGCCCCAGTGGCTGCCGTGTTTGTGGGGTTCCACACGACCTGTGCGGGAAAAGGGGGCAGCGTGTTTTGCATGTTGGGTAGGAGTACTAGGTGGGGTTACCTTTGTCTGCATCTGTCTGGCTTGGTTGCTGCCACGAACTGCAAGGCGGCAGCGGCGGGCGGCGGCTGGTGGCTCTCACCGTCTCCGCCACTCGTGGCGCGGCCTGTTGCTGCAGTTCCCTGTGCCGCGCGTCTGCAGCTCTGCACAGGGCTAGCAGCGTTAAGCAAGCCAGGAGAGCTCGTTGCATGGCTGGTCCGGAAGCCATGCTAGGAGGGACTAAGCCCGTGTCGTCTCAAAGTCAACAAGCAGACGTGTGCACGCTATGTGTTGTGTGAAACAGCGAAAAATAGCACAGCATGCTGCGCCCCCCCAGGAAGCGGTCACGACCGCCATATTGCATCCCCAATCTCCACCTCGGGAGGAGATAGCCAGGCTCGTGCAGGCCTACAGACACAGCACAGGGCTGCGGCGGGCTCGCTGGCTGACTGCCCAGGGTTGTGGCCGGTCACCACTACACCCGCCGCTCGCCCGCCCGCCCTCGCTGCTCTGCTGCATGTGGTTCTGTGCCAATGTCATAAACACTGCACTTTGCTGCTCTAGTAGAGAATGAGGGTGGGGAGGAGGAAGGGGCTAGGCGCCGGCGCCTCATCCGGCACTACCGCAACAATGAGCGGAGGCCGCAAGCAGGGAGCAAGCAGGTGCAGTGTTGACGAGCCGGCGGAAGGCAAAGCAGTGTATGTTATCGCATGGCAGCCATGGGGGCTGCAAGAGAAAGAATCCTTGGAGAGTGCACCAGCGTGAAAAATCGAGGCCTGTCGCCAACCATGGGAAGGCGCACGGGACGGCGGCAATCGCAAAACACAGTATCAGGAACGGGGAACTGGGAAGCATACAGCAGACAACTCAAGCCAGCAGGGAAGAAACGAAACAAAAACGTCACGATAAATGATAAGGGCAGAATCATCTACTGTCGACGTGCTGCGATGCCCGCTCGACTGCCAGGGCTCACAAACAGCAACGGTGTGTGCGTGGCAGCCGCGCAGGATGCACTTGATCAAGACGGCACGCAGAGCACGCCTCAGGGCATGTGCTCCATGCGCCACAGCACCGCTGCCAGCAGCACCGCAGAAGCGATGGACGCCAGCGCCAGCAGCTGCAGCCAGGGGCGCTCCTTCTGCTTGCGCCGGGCCTCCATGGCCTGCGCGGCAGGCAGAGGCAGCAGAGAGGGAGGCCAGCAGGCAGGTCAGGGCAGATGTGCAACAGGCCCGGCCCTCCAACAACAACAGGAATCATTATAGGGTGCTGCGCTGCCCTCCCGACATGCCACCCAGGGAGCCACCTGGCCCCATCCCGGCTTCTCCAGCCTGCCGGCCCC